GGTACAGTCAACTAGCAAATGCAGAAAGCCTAAGATCCCTCCTATCCTAGCTCTTGAAAATGTCCCTACTGTGTATTTTATCAAAATGAAAAACCAGAAATCAAAACAAACAAACAAAAAATAACTCTGCTGCTTTTAGTTGAAGTGCAGTTGCGGTCAGAGTGAGTTCTGGTCTCTCTCCCCTATTGCAATAGCCTGGAACCAAGTCCCCCTTGGCGGTTCAGCTGTGCCCAGTGTGGTTTTTGCTTTGGCAAGATGAACAGTTAAGTGGAATCAGACTGTCTGGGATCAAATTCCATCTCTGCCTCTTCCTAAGTGCATACCCTTGAGTGATCAGCTTCAGCTTCTTCACTGTGAGAAGCCCAACAGGAATGAGTGACAGCACCCACTTGATAGAACCCTGTGGATTAACCCAAGTGGCACATGTGAGGCACCTGGCCCTGAGGTGTCACCACCCATCTCAGCCAGCATCCAGTTGTTGCTCCCGAGTCAGGCTTGTGGGAAATGGGACAAACACACCTTTTCCATGTTCTACTTTTGCAATTTGGATTGTACGATTTTTTTATGACCAACTTTTTAGAGACAAGAAATAACCATTTTATTCATACACAGATTTGGGTGCATTTCATGACTGGAATCCCCTCTTTCTCCCTTGCACACACATGCTGATTTTCTCTCTGCTCTCTTGAGGACAGTGCATTTCAGATGGCACGGGAATGATGCACTTGTGATTTTGGAACACAGAGAGTAAGGGGAGCAGCTGACCAAACAAGCTGTATTATCGAGTCGGGAGGTTGGGCGCAGAGAGTGGCCACAGCGCTCTAGTCCTTATTGGCTTGTAAATCCATGTGCTAAACCTCAACTCTCCCACAAACTCAGGCTGGCCCCCAGGGGAGAAAAGTCTCTCGACAGACTGACTGTCAGAGGAAGGAGACTGCAGGCTTCCTGCTCCCCGCTATCTGAGTCCCGAAGACAGCGGTTCTCCCGCTGAGTCTCCAACCACGCTTCTCACCCAACACAAAAGAATTTGAAAGACTGAGAAGGGTTTTTCAGCTCCTTTTGGGCTACATTTTACACAAGAGAGTTGTCCTTTACTGAGATTTCAGAAGAGCCAGAGCCGAGTGAATTGAGCCTGGACACTTGTCCCTAGTTCAGATGTCAGATGACCCAACCTTCTCTCCCAAGGAGCCGCTTAGGAGCTTGACTTCTTTTTTTAAATTTTTTAATCTTTTTTTATTTTAGCATATTATGGGGGCACAAGTGTTTAGGTCACATATATTGGGATCTCCTGAACTCTGACGTCCTCCTTAAATGGCCACCAAGAGCAGTTCCATGCTCTGGCTGGCGACTAGCTTGCTGCAGCCGCCCTATCCCGGCCCCTTCCCCGGCCAGCCCGCCTGGCTCCCCGCGAGGCTGCGCTCGCCAGCTCCCCGGCTCTGCCCTGGGCTGGCGGCCGGGAGCCCAGCAGATACCTCGCTTCCTCCTCGCAGTCCTGCCACTGCTGCGGCAGCTGCCAGGGCTCCAAACTCCCCGTGTGTCTCTGTGCCAAAGAGGACTCTGGCTCCATCCCACCTGGCATCGTTCACGCTTAGATAACGACCACCAGCATGTTTGCTTTCTCCACCTGCGAAGAAAAATCTGGCCCGCGGCTGCCACGGGGGACTCAGGTCGGAGCACCTGGGCTGGCCGAGGCCACGACTCGCCGTGCGGTTTAGAGGGCTCTGCCAGGCCATCCCGGGAGCTCATCATATGCTAGCTGCTCATTTTGGATCCAAAGTGGGAAAAAGTTTCCCGCATTTTTCAGGCAAATACCAGCAACTCCTTTTTTTCTTCCTGTCATCTAATTTTTATATCTACCTGTTACTTTTTAACTAAACCAGAATCATAGCTGGATTCTTATGACTTCCAAAAGTTAGCCCTTGTTGGATGAGAGTCTCTAATTATATTTTTGATGCACAGTGAGGAGAACTGTCTTCTCTGTCTGTTTAGTTACTTTGGAAAAGGAGGCGCGAGGCTGGCCTTGCTAATGCCGGTGGCGGGTCACTCTGTGAGCAAAGCCAAGAGCTATTTTCAGTCTGCTTCAGCTTTAAGCTGCGTCGAATCCCTGGGCCCCCGCTCGCCTCTCTGTGGCCTCTGTGGCCGGCAAGCAGAGGACCAGCAGGAAGACTGTGGACACTGCAGGGCATTTCTGCGTGTGAGTTTTCCTTTAGGGCAGGCAGGTTGAAGTGATCACATTTCAGGTCAGTATTTTGAGAAAGAAGAGACGAGCCAATCGGAACAGGTTTCCTTAGGAGAAGGGCAAATAATACATGGAGGAAGAAGAACATAAAGGGAGTAAAAGGTGAAGGACAATAAAGAAAAACATCTCGAACTTAATGAGTATTGACCCTGTGCCAGGCGCTCTGCAGGGTGTTCAGCAAGGACCATCTCGTTTAAGAGCTCCTGCGGTGTAGGAGCTCTGTGTCTATTCGACACAGAAATGCTGAGCAATTCGCCAGGTGGTCTCTTAGTTGGCCAGTGGCAGAGACGGGATTCCAAGCCCACGTTGTTTGCCACGAAACACTACGACAAGGTCGGCCACTTGGCAGCCCCGGTCTCGTCCAAACATCACTAAGCACATGGCCATAAATGTCAAGGGTTGGAAGACGTTTTGGGGAACAACTAGTCCAACTCCTTTACTACACACATGAGAAAAGAGACTCACAGAGAAAAAGTGGTAATAGTTGGTCAAGAAAATGCCTTTATTAGAGTGGAACTGAAACTGACACCCTCGTTGCCTGAATCCTTATTGAATAGTTTTGGGATAACTGGCTCCAGGATCTCATAGCTGTTGAACTTGTTTTTTTTTTTTTTTTTTTCTGGAAACAACCCCCTCCCTGGGGTAGACTTCGATTGCAGAACAATATTTCTTAGATGGGCTCAAATAGCTTGTGTCTGGAAGCTGTGCATCATTCCTACCTCTGAGATAACAGGAAATTGGGAACTGGGACTTGAGACGTTCTCTTCATCATCAGGTGAAAAGAACGTGCTGACTCATCACATCGGTCCACCCCGCTTAATGCTTTTCTTTCCCAGATCACCAATGGCCTCACAATTTCTAAGCTCAGAGAACATTCCTCTAGCCTTATTTTACTCATGGTGCTTGATATTTGCCATTACTTTTTCCATAAAAACCTCTCCTCCTCCTCCTCATTTCCTTCACTCTTTCCACTCCTCTTCATTCTTCCTCCTGAGATGTTTTCCTGCCTACCTCTTAAATTTATTGTTCTGTAGAATTCTGATCTCAGTCTCTTGCTCTTCTCTTTTAGTGAGTTACTCTCAGGTCCCCTTCTTTAAAGGACTTGACACCCCTCCCAAGACCATAATAAATACTCCCCCCATCCCTTTTCATTTTACAGCCTTACTAGATCTCCAAAATTCCTGCGTACAACTATAGCCGGTGAACAGAAAGGGATCAAACTGAAGTTGGACCTCTATATATCCAGGCGTAAGTTTGGAAAAATGAGAAATCAAGTCAAGTAGGGTCACATGTTACAATGAAAACCAAGTAGAATCCACTTAGCATGTTAACAGAATTTAGGAAGAAACTTGTCCTCCATAATCTGAGCAAGACATGTTGACGAACTAAAACTTATTCACTGTGTTCAGCAGGAAATCACTGGACTCGATATTTAGCCAATAAAAAAATAATATATAATTTTATGATTTATAATTTGAGGGAAGGATTTGGAAAGGGGTCCACCTGCAAATAAGTGGTCTTTTATTTCAAAATCTATGACTCTTTCATAAGCCCCCGGCTGATGGGGCTGGTTCACAAGTTGGTCTCACGTTCAAAGCTCATTGACCTTTGTTTTGTCCACATTACAGAAAAGGAATAGACACCTCATTTTACTTTTCTTCTCATGACTTCCTAATGCTCTTCAAGCATCCCAACACAGCTGTGAGAGACACCGTGGGGACTCTGGCGCTTGTTAAAATTAACTGACCCTCACCAAGGCTCTGCCGATAATGGTGAAGCCCAGGTGGTTGGTGTTATGAGTATGAACAGCAACCAGGTCCCATCTTGTCTTGGTCTGAGACTTCCACCGCTGACTGAATTGATCAGTTAAGCCCCAGAAGCCCAGGGAAAGGGTCTAAGGTGATACACACCCACCAGGTCCTTCAAACTCATTTTCTTTTCATTCAACAAGTAAAAGTTGCTAATTTCCTAACATATTATTGTAATATTCTGGGAAACAAAATGTAAAATTCTAATAGTTATGGAAACAGGCATTGATCTCAAGTAATTTTAGGCTCATCTGGACTAGATCAGTAGCAAAAATATTGGTAAAAAGGATTAGACAGTGTGGCTGGATCCACTTCTCACACAGGTTGTTGAACTTTCTGCCCTGTTTAAGTTTCTTCTCAGTGCTGATATCTTTCCCATGTAGAAGGATTTCATGTCAGAAGAAGTCTAAATCTTTCTCTGCCTAGAACCTCAAGGATGGGCAGAGAAAGGAATGGATTTCTAGATATCATTTTAGGCAAATCTTAACTTAGCCCATCCTTTCCCTCCCTCCCTCCTTCCTTTTCGACATCTCTCCCTTCCTTTGCTCATCACTTAAAGGAAACCTGAACTTAGAGAGCCCATTCCCCCTCCCTCCCTCCCTCCCTTCCTTTCTTCCTTACAGTTATAAGTGTCCTAAATGGTCAAATAATTTTATACAGTTGTAACACCATGAACCTAAAATTGTAGACATCAGAGAGACCTGACAGATGTCCAGCCCATGCTCTGATTTTATAGCTGAGGATGATGAGCTCCAGAACATAGAAGTAGAACCAGATCTAGGTCTTTCTCACCCCATTCTGTCTTGCAGGAGACTACAAAATGCCTAGACATTTGCTTTCGGAAGGATCTCCATTGGAACTCTCCACAGGCTGGTTTTTGTTTTGTTTGTTTGTTTTTGCATTGTGCAGGTTCCTAAAACCGACAGAGGGAAACCATGATTGCCTTTACTCACCGACAAACAGCTGGCTGTAGAGCTCCAGGCGGGTGTGACCTTCAGTCGGGGCCTTGCGGATCTGCTGGGGCAGCCGGTCCACCTGCAGACTGGCCTGCTTGACATTCCTCTCTGCAGTAACCCGGTGCCACTGGTCGTCGTTGAGAGGGGAGGGTGACCTCACTACGATCTCCACTGGCCCGTTTCCGACATCAAATGAAAAGGATACTTCTGTGGCAGCTGTAGGGGCAGAAAGCATAAGAGATACGTGGGTAATTTTCTCCAGATATCAAATAGCATTGAATTCTAGAGGAAAACCAAAGCATGGAGAGAAAAAGCCAGTCTCTTGCTACAGAGGTCCAAGGCAAAATCCTTTGAGGAAGGATAAAACATCAATCAATTATTAACCATTAATAACCAAGGGCAGAAAAATGGATTTGTACTGGGAGCCTATGTGCCAGGTACACATTTATTCCCTTACATATTCTTGAGAAGGCTTCCAGGAAGTTTTCATCACTGGCCATGTGCAGATAAGGAAACCGAAATATGGTGAAGTTAGCACATGTTGAGTGTCTTAGAGTTAGTGAGTTAGTGGAGTCAGGATCCGAACCCAGGTTTGTCAGATTTCAGAGCCTGAGATCTTTTTAGTCCACATAAATCTTCCCTGTTTGGTGGCTTGTCAGTGACTGCGGTGATTTGCCGTCACCTGGAGAGCTCTTGGAAACACCTGTGTCCAGAGATTCTGACTCAGTTGGTCTAGAGTAGGCACAGATATTTTTCAAACGCTCCCCAGGAAAAGCTAATATGTAGCCAGAGTGGAGAACTACTGCTTTGGGCAAATTCACTAAACTTTATTTCATTAATCTTTGTAGTCCCTATTGAAAGTTAGGGACCTATAAATTTCGGAGGCAATGAAGGTGACCTACATCTTTTTTGGACCACTTGTGGCTGCCCAAAAGGTAGCACGACGGTCCTGCAGAATAATCCCCTTCCTGCATCAGATGTTGTGAACCTTGGTTATTCCCCATCTGGGGTGCTGGATCCTTCCCACAACCTACCCCTTAGCAATGACCACAAATCACTCGTTTTCAGAGACGTCCTCCAAACCAACCTCCGTCTACAATCCATCACCTCTCCACAATAGGCAAATGGATTCAGTGGTTGCTTTGTTAACTTTAGTTATAAGTTGCTTTCTTATTTCGCATTTTTTTTAAGTTCCTCGGTGACCACCTAGGACTTTACAAATAAGATTTTTAAAGGTCCATTTCTCTGGTGACTGGCAGCAGAGGCAGTCCCCTGCTGGAGTGGCACACACGCCTCTTGAGCTCCCTCAGGCTCGGTGAATTCCTTTTGACATTAAAGACGCGGCACACCGGTGAATTTCCTAACTTCACTTATAAAGATATTCAGCCCCTCTATCCATCAGTAAGCCTTCTGCCTAATCTCTAAGCACTTTAATTAAATATCTGTCTTTTTTTTTTTTTCCTGGGCTAATGGAAAATTCGGCTTCTTTTGGCCGGTACCATTTTGAGACGGTGTCACAAGCAATCAGATGTCTAATTTAAAAACCACAGTGGGCCAGATCCTCCCAGGACCCAGCCCATGCCCTGCCTCTGTGCCGGGCCCCGCCGAGAGCCGCGTTAGCTTTATTGAGCTAGGGGGATATTAGACGCAGAGCTCAATTTAATCAACCTAATTGTACCGAGGAATTTTGATCCTTCATGTCATTAGAAAGAGAACTTTAATTTTAGCACCTGTGGTGATTCTGCACGTGAACACACACACACACACACACGCACACACACGCCAGTAAAAATCTCATCTAAATGAGGAGCCACTGCCTCCGGGGGTCCTTGTGACTGAATGTAGCCTGCAGGCCTGTGACTGCCACCCAGGCTCCCGGGAACGTGTGATCAGAGTGCAGGTGGATGACAACACGACCCCCAGGCGGGGTCCTCCGGCTCTGCAGTTCCGACACAGTGGACGGGAGAAAATGTGTCCTTGCTTTCAGATCGCATCTGCCCCGTTCTCCTGGTGCCGTATTCCAGCAGAAGCAGCATTTTAAAATGTAAGTTGTCAGAATAGCCGGAGAACGAGGGTTCCCGGGCTAAGCAGGAAAGATTGTTTCATTTTAAAGGCATCAACTGCCATCAAGGAAATAGAATTTAGGGATAAATTGAGTTTAACCCTAAAGGTTTGACTCGCAGGGATAAATGCGGCTCTAATTTCCTCTGCTATTCTCCCTCTGCTGCGACGAATTCTTGTCCAGGTCTTGAAACTGTCACCATTTGGAGGAAGTCTGGGTACCAGCAGTCGTTAGAAAATATCCACACTTTTCTCTTTGCTTGTCACAATAGATCCCCTATTTCTGCCTCTGCACCGCAGTCGTCTCAGCATCAATCCTGTGCTCCAGAGAGGGGAGGAAAGTCACAGGGGACAGTGTGGCTCAGAGCCTCTCTCCCCAGGGGGACACGGCCACCGCAGGCCAGGAGCCTCCAAGAGCAGCCCCGGCCAGGAGCCCCATTCAGGCTCTGCTCAAGAAATATTTACAAAGCGAGAGCCCGTTGTCGCACACTTCCCTGCTGTCGCTTCCTGAGGAAGGGGACTCTAAGCCTCATGTGAGCGGGAAAGAAAGGGCTCCTTTTTCTCAGTCATTCCGCGCCAGCTTCCCTGACATTGCTAAGGGACGCCTCTGAGAAATCCCATCTCCCAGCCAGACAGTGTGTTTTAAAAGCTTCTAAAGTTCAGTTTGTGGCTGATTGCTCTCGGTCCTCCGGGTGAGAGCAACTGACATTTTAAAAGAGATAATTACAGAGAGAGTCGGCGAGCGAATAAAAGGGAGGCGGCATGAAAGACAGGGCAGCCCGTGCCACCGTCCTCACTTAACGTGGGTCCCCAGCTGGAGACGGAAGCATCGCCCTGCTTCCGCCCGTGGAAAGAGAGTTTACCATGCGCCGAAAACCTTCCTATTCCCAGAAATAAGTATCTGAGCGTGAGAATTGTGTGGCATGGCTCATTGGAAAGAACACCGCGCCAGACACGAACGGCTGCTTTTCCACGAGGGTCGGGAACTGGGGAGGGTCTCAGGTTTGACCCCACTTGCAAGCTAACCTGTCAGCTGGCCACAGTTTCGGGATGCCGGCTAAAGACAGGAGACTCCCGGGTCGGGCACAAAGGACCTTTTCACTCACAACACAGCAGGCACCAGGAGCTTAACGTTCACAGGGGTCTCCCTCCCCCCACCCCGAGTCCCCTGGGGTGACATGGGGCAGCCCAGGTGGGTGCCGCACACCCACTAAGCTTGCTCCACAGCTCAGGAACCCTGAACTTAGGAAGCCCCAATATCTTAAAGGAGCTGCTGAAGCTTGGTCAATCTTTGCCCTGGAGCAGGACATTGTCTTTATTACCCTGGTCAGGAAACAAATCTACCCTCTTTCCTGGAGGAAGACATTGTATCTTCCGAGTCTGTTAGCTATACATGCATCCTTAAAAAAGGTATGAGCAAAGGTGTCAATGCCTCTTGCTCAGAAGACAAGCAGAAATAGGAGAGATGGATAGAGAATTTTCTCCCAGTAACTAATCACTCTCACCTCTTCCCTTGTGAGCTAACCTGATTTTGCTCAGTAATCTATGTGTTTCCAGAGTCTTATGCTTCAGCTAAGGATAGCCCCAACCTCAGCCCAGAAGCTGACTCTGCACTTAACCAAGACCAAGATGGCAATTCCATGCTCCTTGCCTGTCATGCACTTAGGATGGGACATATCATTCCCTCCTGCCAATGAGACATGAGTGGAGTCTCTTGGAAGCTTTTTGGGAAAAGTATCTTAGCTCGTAAGAGAGGTAAGGAAAATACAGTTCCTTTTCTACCCCTAAATACTGGGGGGGCGGGGAAGGGGTGGTTACTAATGTTGCTGGAACCGCCTTGAAAATAGCAGCTATACCAAAGAGAACAGGGAGGGCAATGGGGTGAACCTGTGTTGTTGGTGACATTGTTCAACTCTTAAATTATTCCTGGAGCCATCTACATTAGGATTTCTTATGTGAGATCCATTACTGTTTAAGCCATTTTTTTTTCATTGCAGCTGCAAGTGTCTTAATTGATACTGAACATGGTTTGGGAATCAGCATATCTGAGTTCTAGTCTTAGCTTTGCTTTTTTCACTTTTTGGGTCTCAGTTCACCAGCGTCTGAAGTGAGGATTGCATCTATAGTTTCCCAAGAGTTTCCATGTCCAAAATGTGTTTGAAACTACTGAACTAGATTACCTCTAGCATCCTTTCAAACTGCAATATTCTATATTCTCCCAAAAGATTCTAAGAGAAATAAAATGAAATATAGGTAGTCTTAATGGTAGCTTTAGATATTGAATCATTACAGGGAGAAAAGAGAAATATCAAAAGAGAAATACACGAGGTGGCATATCGGCATCAGAAAAGAGTATAGATGGCAGAAATGACTGTTGAATAAAGCTGGCTTGCGACTTCATCAGAGTGACTTAAAACAATGGATGGGATAAAACCATGGACAACTCTTGGTATTTCCAATGTCCTCCCCCTCCCCTTCAAGCATGCTTTCAGTAGGTGGCGCTATTTGCTCACATTTCAATATATTAATACTACATTTCCGCAAACAAATCACTCCAGGTTTGACGAATTGAGTGATAAATTTAACAACCGACCAGAATAGCAGACTTTTTGGCTCTGGGTTCCTCCAGCAGATGAGGTAACATTTAGACATCAGACCTAAAGTGTCAGTTGGAGTAGCAGAACAAATTTGACCACTCAATATAGAAAAGGTTAAGAGAAAAGACAAAGAAAGGTATACACATTATGAGAATAATGACCAGTCCAGTTAACACTGTTTCTGTTTTGATAACAATTTGTTTTTTCCATTCTAAAATGACATTTCAACGGATGATAGTTTCCAAAGGTCTCTTCTGGGCAAAATCTCATTGGATTCATACAACAAAACAAGTCGTTGGTAGAACAGATACTTTAGTCTTGTTTCAACAGTCCAAGTGTTATGAATATCTTTTTCCTTTTTTTTTTTCCCTGAAGGAAGGATGAAGTGTACATCATAAGAGAGAAGAATTATGTAACACGAAAGGGTCATGAGAAGATGCAGGAAGGCTGAAAATAAGGTCAATGTGGGAATGGAGGGATGAGGAAGAGGAGAAAGAAGTAAAGAATATATCCAAGGCCAAGTATCCCGCGTGTGTACTAGACACCATCCTTCCTCCT